AGATCCAGCTATACCCAGCCTGGCCTATGCCCAAAGGACTCTGTATCCTTTTACGGAGACACTTGCTTAACCATGTTCATTGCTGACCTGTTCCCATAGTCAAAAATTGGAAACAGCCTAGGTGTCCATTAACTGATAAACAGATAATGAATGTGTGGTATATTTACACATTGGAATATTATTCAGATGTTAACAAAAAATAAAGCTATGAAATGTTCATTTAAAATGATGAAACTAGGACTAAAACATCCTGAGTGAGGTAACCTGGGCCCCAAATGGCAAATGTTCTATGTTTTCTCTTTATGTGTATGTTAGCTTTTAAGTTTTCAAAATGTATGCTTTAATCTAAATAACCACAGAGTTTAGGTATCTACTATGGGATTAGAGTGGACGAAAGGATCTCCCAAAGAATGTAAAATAAAATTCGTGCTATGGAGAGACAAAGGTAATCTAGGAGTATTGAAAAAGGAAGGGGATGGGATTACAGGATAAGCAAAGAAATATGGGGAGAGACAACTAACATTAAAGGCCATTTAAAAAGTATATGGAAACCTACCACTGAAGAAGCTCCCTGAAATACATACATATATGAAACAAAAATAAGTGGAGTAACCAAATAATAGGGGATACAATGCCCCAATTAGATATCTTATGCCATCAGGTAAAACATCCAGCAGCAGGAATTGGTTACATCTAGTTGAGTCATTGGCCAAAGGGGCCCAATAGGAATCCCCAAACATCAGAAGCCACTGCCAATGTTATTGTTTGACTTCCACAATCTAGTGGTAAGGGCTTATTGCTGAAGACAACACTTAGTCAAGCAGGTACAAGCAGGTGCCTTCACTAGAAGCTTCAGCCTTAGTGACTAGCATTCATGGTACTGGATTGGAGAAAGGAGAAAGGTACATCAGTGCCACCCAGCTACAAACCCTGTGACCAATAACAGTGACTGGCTGCAAGAGATACTGGTGCAATTGTGGTACAAAGTGGAGGAGGTGGGAAGACGATAAAAGCCAGAGGTGATGGTTGACTCCAAGAAAAAAGTGTCTTCCAGGCACAATAAGACTGATGTACATATGAACTTACAGATATGTGACAGCATGCACAAGACCTGTTTAGGTCAGATCAGAAGGGGTCCCAGCACTGAGATTGGGAGAGACACAGGGTCCCATGCCAAACCAGGAAGCTATCTCTAGTTGCTGTCTGCTGGGAAAGGGAAGTTCAGTTTTCTCCAATGGAGTCTTATTGGGTGTGTCACCACACTTCAGGGCAGGCCCTATGACTAGGAGTCATGGGCCAGCACAAAGAAACTCAATAATATTTTTATGGACTTTTTAATTTCATTTTGCTTTTTTTGTCTTTTACTTGTTTGCTTTTATTTTCTTTTTTTTGTGTGCTGGGCCTGTGTGTGTGTGTGTGTGTGTGTGTGTGTGTGTGTGTGTGGAGAGAAAACCCCATAAAGGTGGGTGGGTAGGCAGGTCAGGAGGATCTGAGGGAAGGGGAAAACATGACCAAAATATATTGTATGAAAAATTCTTTCTTCAATAAAATTAATACAAATAAGTAAGTCAAATGGCACGAGGTAAACAGTAAATAGTACCTGTAAGAAACACATAAATGAGGTGTTACATTGCCAGGGAGTTAGGAGTTAGGTCTTAAAATATCTTATTAATCTTTATTTCTATGACAAATACAAATTAAGCAAAATGTAAGAATCCAAGGAGAATTCACAGTTCTGGTGAGTGTATGCAGTTATGTGGTATCCTGCTGTGTGCAGGCTGCTTTGGCAAGAAGTGAAAACCCACAAGCATGGCTAGAAGGAAAGACAAGACATAAACAGAAAGACAGCAAAAGGATCTAGTCTTTCAAAACAACAGTTCTAGATTTTGTTTAAATGACTCTTTCTGGCATTTTGAACTTAGTAATTACTCTCAACTATGTATTGTAGTTATCATGATTTCAAATTGGCCATCTGGAATTATAAACCAATGGCTAAACTTCTGTAACTTCTTAATGAGGTGGGATATAAGTCCAAAGATACAACACAACTGTTGCCTGAATCTTTGTTGAAACTGCAGAGTCTAGGGAATAGTGAGAATTTACGAAGAATGGCAATGTGTATAAGAA